ATAAAAACACTCAAGACGCAAACACTCGAGATAAGGATGTTATTTGTCATGTTATAATGATAAGCAAGATATACAGTGTGTTTACGGGTGATATTAATACGGTATCGCGGTAGGATAATGCTGCTATCACTGCGTCCACTGTTACCTGCTATTTAATTGACTTTGGTTGTTACTGCATCGTTTTACTGTTTATCTTGATATTTATGTATTTGCTTAGTTATTCCTGTTTTTATATATTTACTTATTTGATTATTTATTTATCTGTCTATATATGTATGTATATATTTACATATTTTTCATTCATTTATCGACTCATTAATGTGCTTCGTTAGAATATAAGGTTATTAGTTGGGATCACACTTGGTAGCTGTTGTTGTTTCACGTGTTGCTGTTGTAATTGCTAGTGTAGTTGTCGTTATTACAGATGGGACAATTGATGTTAGTTATATTAAAAATGCCATTTATCATTCATTTGTACATACATGTACATACTACACACACACACACACACACACACACACACACACACACACACACACACACACACACACACACCCACACACACACACACACACACACACACACACACACACACACAGCACACACACACGACACACACAGTTATGTTTATAAAACCTCGAAAACCATAGTAAATACCACTCGTTTTGGGTGGAAAATAAAATAATGGAAAATAAAATAATGGAAAATAAAATAATGGAAAATAAAAATCATGGTGTGCTATATAATAGATTGATTTCCGTTTTAAATGAGACTAAGAAAACGAGAGAAAGAAAAATACAATAAAGGAGAAAAAAATAATAAAAATAATAAAAAGAAGAAAAAGAACAAGAGAAGGGAAAGAAAGAAAAAGAATAAGAGGAAAAGGACAAAGATAAAGAAAAAAAAACCATAAGAGGAAAAAGACAAAGATAAAGAAGAAAAAAGGAATAACAGGAAAAAAAACAAAGATAAAGAAGAAAAACGAAAAAGAAGACAACGACGAAGAGGAAGAAAACAAAACGATAATAAAATAAACACAATGATTAATGAAACGGCTTAGTCATCACACATTACGCACACGGCTTCATCGACCGTTATCACTTACCAGATCAAAGGTCATCTACCAGGATATTAACAGAAGAGACTTTAGGCATTTATCATTTTATTTTTATGTATAAACATAAATATAAAACTATATAAGAGGGTAAAAGAGCTCACACAGTGAACATCTGCATTGCTCAAGTAATTGTACAAGATTACGCAACACATTGCCACCTCTCATGGGGGACAGGAGTCTGAGGTTTCAAGTAGTAGTCCTATCATGTATTTCATCCTGATGCAGATATATTCTCATATCAATATATAAATATAAATATACATATATGTGTATATATGTATATATACACATACATATATAATACTATATATATATATATATATATATATATATATATATATATATATATATATATATATAATGCATACCCTTTGATACTGTATCTATGACAATTCTTACTGTTCATTGCAAACACGTACGCGCAGAATATAGCAAGACGCGGATCTCCTTCGTCCCTAGGAAAGCCAGACGGGTCAGCACTAGGGAGAAGAGTAGGGAGCAAGAGTGTGCTGTAGTTCCTAGTACAGAATCCTTATCAAAAGGCAGGACAAGAAATATACAAGTTACCTATGGACCTAACCAAATAACTCTTCTTTGTTTTTTTTTTTTTTTTGTTTATAAATCATTCCGGATATTCTTGGAATTATTTCAAATCTTGAGAAAGTAAATTCTTCGGAAAGAAATTTCGAGAATTCCTTCCTCGAAAATGAAAGTCTGCAAGAGAGATTTGAGCTAACAGTGAATCCTCACCTTTAGCTATTTTTTTCGTCTTATCAGTGCAGTCAAGAAACATACCCTGTAACTTAGTTTAAGATGAATTTGTAGTTTACCTAGAGTTACAAAAGCAAACTGTATTTAAAGCCAAAATGATATCAACAATTCTAATGCTCCTATAGACTTAAAACACAAAATAAACAAAACGACAAACACACGAAAGAAATCTTACTCAAACTGTGTCCCATAGGATACAATAATATATACATACATATACATACGCCTTAAAATAGTATAAGGGACATCACAGAATTTCCATAAGATTAAGCAGTACGCCAGCTATTATAAGAATAGCACTGATGACGAGCTGTTTCCTGGATATTATCCTTACCAAGCATAGATATCTGAATGCAGAGTCCAGTATTTTAATATTCTTTCTTAACACTCTTATTTACATACTATATCTCTACAATATTTCAATAGGCTGTTTTTATACTATATTTTTACGTTCGTATTTATCTTTACATAGCATAGGTTATGTTAAAATTACTTTAAGCTCGTCGTTAAACTGCCTTGGTTCACTCCATGCTTCTATTATCTATGAAACGTGGAAATTGATCTTCTAAAAACGGATTTTAATTTTTGAGTTGACATAATGTCGAATCATTAAAAAAACAGGGGATACGAGCTCTCGGTGATAATAATAAAAGAGCTTGATATCTACATTTCTTAATTTGCTCGTTTTTCTTATAATTTTCCTTTCTCAAAATGTTCTCTTAAAATCACTGGGTATTCTATGGAAAATAATGAAATGTATCAATTACGTAGGAGGAATATGAATGAAAAAGACAATTCTGATCAATTCGTCAAACATGAATAAATTATATATTACGTATTACTTTTCTTTTCACTGTATCCAAGGCCAAAAACATTTCCGTGCACTTGAGCTAAGTGATGTATGCATAAAATCTGTCCATCATTTAATTGATAATAAACATCTAAGACCATGTTTAACACGTGATAAAATGCTAAGGACTTTGCGATCACTGTACTAGTTTAATTATTAAATCCTTGACAACATAAATTCCTGCCTCGTTACATGTTTACTGCATTTTCTAAATATATATAAAAAACCTTAGGGGAGATATTTTAAAAAATAGTTGAAAGAAAAAGTATCTCATTCTAGGGTTGTGTGTGTGCGTGTGCGTGTGCGTGTGTGTGTGTGTGTGTTGTGTGTGTGTGTGTGTGTGTGTGTGTGTGTGTGTGTGTGTGTGTGTGTGTGTGTGTGTGTTGTGTGTGTGTGTGTGTGTGTGTGTGTGTGTGTTGTGTGTGTGTGTGTGAGGTAATATAAGTTTTCAGCTAAAATGATACTGAATAAAAGTCTTGAATTATTATACAATATCAAATGAAAAATGACAAATATTTGCACAGTCCCAAAAATCATGATGACAAAGCTTTATTGTACAGCACATCCTTTAATATCTATCGGTACTTAATGAGCTCTGAGTCTAACCATCTCGCTGTCACACTGAATGCATATTCCTGACAAACCTTTCGCAAGACAAGCTATCTTTTAGCTCAAACGTTGATTCATGGCTCGTGGGTGGGAGGCGCCATATTTGATTACCCTGGAAGACTTTGACAGCCTAACTTTTCAGTCTTTTCAATCACACACTGAAGAGATAATCATACAAGCGCACCAGACGGTCGAACTGCTCCCACGATCTCTTAAAAAAATCATTTCCATTGCTAAATCACAGATCCTGTGGCCTTTCTTGCTTCCTTTGTTCGTGGTAACACTTACGGTCATGCCAACACGTACATGCAATATGCTTTGAGAGGCATACGGGTGCTAGTATACCCACGTCACGGGCACCCACTGGGGTTCCATTGCTAGGCGTTCAATAGCGTCCATGATTTGGTTGTATGTATCGTCTAGGTCATTGTTTATGATAACTTTGTCAAAGTACTTATCGTAGGCACGCTGTAGCTTCGCACTTTCTTCCATTGTACGCTTGAAATCATCCTCCTGTTGATTAAGAAAAACAAAATCAGTCAGTTTTGTAAAACAAACAATCCTTCTATAAATCAATCCATTCAAAAATAACAAAAAAGACCTAAAGCCAAATAGCGTACATAACCATAACAAATATACACATATTTTCCCAAACATATTTTCCTAATACATAGAGACAATATCACTTAAAAAACATAAATCACAACAACAGCCACATGACCAAACGTATCTCACAGCCAACCCTTCTACAGTAGTATCAAGTTTACCTCATACAACGAAGCCAGCGACTCTAAGGTCCTGGCACGTCGGGAGCTGTAGCGTATGGAGCTGCTGCGGTCGAACTGTGAGGGGGAGAAGGGGCAAGCACAGGCACTTAATAACAGGCAACAAGCAGCAAGACTTCTCATACGGACGGAATAAACCGGCAGTTAGGACACAAACAGAGCAAGTCGTTATGGGGAGTTGCAGGTAGGGGGGGGGAGATGGAAGAAGGGTCTAAGTCCAATAGCTCTGGGTGTGTTGAGAGAGAGAGAGAGAGAGAGAGAGAGAGAGAGAGAGAGAGAGAGAGAGAGAGAGAGAGAGAGAGAGAGAGAGAGAGAGAGAGGAGAGAGAGAGAAGAGAGAGAGAGGGAGGTGAGGGGGGGAGGGAGAGGGAAGAGGGGGTTGTGGGTGGCGGGGGGGGAGGGGGAGGGAGAGGGCAGGGAGAAGGAGAGGCTGAGGGGGGAGGCGCGAGGGAGGACTGGGAGGGAGAGGGAGAAGAAGGGAACGAAAGAACAGACAGAGAGGGAGAGAGAGAGAGAGAGAGAAGAGGAGAGGAGAGAGAGAGAGAGAGAGAGAGAGAGAGAGAGAAGAGAGAGAGAGAGAGAGGAGAGAGAGAGAGGAGAGAGATGCGAGGAAGAGAGAGAGAGGAGAGAGAGAGAGAGAAGGAGAGAGAGAGAGAGAGAGAGAGAGAGAGGAGAGAGAGAGAGAGAGGTCCTGGGCGTAGGGGGAGGGAAGACTGGCGCACGAGGGAAATGAGGGAGAAGGCAGAGGTGAGGAGAGAGAGAGAGAGAGAGCAGAGATGAGAGAGAGAAGAGAGAGAGAGAGAGAGAAGAGAGAGAGTAGAGAGAGAGAGAGAGAGAGAGAGAGAGAGAATATGAGGCCCTCTTTGGAGGTTCGTATGCAGTTGGAAGGAGGAGAACGCCGATGTGCCGCTGAGGGCCTCGGCTCCCTTGGTCTTGCCTGGGGAGGGGAGAGGGAGAAGAAAGGGAACGAAGAGGAACAGACAGAGAGGGCGAGGGAGAGAAGAGAGAGAGAGAGAGAGAGAAGAGAGAGATGTAGAGAGAGAGAGAGAGAGAGAGAGAGGAAGAGAGAGAGAGAGAGACGCACGAGAGAGAGAGAGATGCACGAGAGAGGAGAGATGACCTAGACGGAGGGGGGGGGGGGAGGGAGAGGGAGAAGGAGGGGAAGAGTTGGAGAGGGAGAGGGATCCGCTCCGCTCCTCCTCCCGGATAGAAGCCAGCCAGACCCGCTGCCGACGTGCTTCACATCCGTCCTCCAACCGTCGGCTCCTGAGGCGAGAACCTCCTGCCTGTGATGGGAGAAGGTACTCGCTTTACTCGTTGCCTTCGGGAAACTGGTTCCTTCTTATTCCTCCTTCTGTGGTTAGTAGTGAGACTGGGATCGAATAAAAGTTATAATATGCATGTTATCAATCGATATCGTAGAGTGTATTCAAAGTACTTTCGAGTAGCGCCGTAGATGCAGGTATGACTGTAAGTCCACGAGATGAGAGATGAGAGATGAGAGTTATGAAGTAGATGAGAGATCAGAAGAGTTAGTAGAGTATGAGAAGAGAGAGAGAGTACGCTATAGTATTTTGAGTATGTTGTTAAGTGATTGTGAGTATTTTTCTTTTTCACGTTATACTCGATTGTCTCGCAAATGGGGTGGGGTTTTTCAATTAGAAAAGTGGAGAACGGAGGGGAGATGAAAAATAGAGAGAAGAGATGAACGGCCTTATACGGGTTGATCTGTGACTGCGAGTTTAGATGAGAGAGTAATGAGTAGTTATGAGTAGAGAGTTAAGTACGCAGAGAAATTGATAGAGGTATGAGTGAGGAAGGATTGGGGCCACAGAAGTATGCATGAAGATTGTATTGTCTAGATGGTATGGTTAAAGGAAGGAGAGAGAGAGAGTAGCAATTGTTACGCAAGAGAATAGAAAGAGAAGATGAGTAGAAGAGGCTAGATCGATTATATAGAACGAAGAGAGAGAGTAGACGCCACGCCAGATGGAGTTTATCTGCACTCTAATAGTAATTTTCTCGATTTACCATTATATCTATGCTTTTATTTCGCATTTAAGGTGGGTTTTTGTTGTGTAGAGTTGTGTGTGTAGTGTGTTGTGTGGTGTGTGTGTGGTGTGTGTGATGTTGTGTGTTGGTGTTAGTTGATTTGTGTGTGTAGTGTCTGTGTGTGATAGTTGATTTAGTGTTGATTGTGTGATGTAGTTTGTTGTGGTGTTGTGTTGTGGATTACATGTTATGTTGCTAGATGTTGTTGATGTTGTTGATGTGTGTGTGTGTGTATATGTGTGTGTTAAGTTAGTTATTTGATTGTAGTTGTGTTGTATGTGTTAGTGATGGTGCGTGATAAGTGATTGAGTTGTGTTGTGTAGTGTGTATATTGATGCTGTGTAAGATAGATATAGCATAATGTATCAATTTATTATCAAAATTATCCATCCAATCATCATCAACCATCATACAATAGAGTAGTGCCAGAGTAGTTAATTATCGAATAATGTAGGTAAAACAAGGTAAAGAAGCTATTAATGGAGGTAAGGTAATCTAGGTAGTAGTTAAGTAATTATGGACATGTAAAGTTATAAAAATTGTTATGTAAAGTAGGTTTGTCATATAGCTCAACATCTAAATAAATAATTAAACTGAACAAATATTGGAGTACACTTTGTGTTAAATTAGCGCGTCATCATTAGTAATAATTACCGCTTTGAATACACTATATTAGGGCCATTTAAAATTTTTAGAGAGAAAGTGTTATTTTAGTTTTAGAAAGTGCAAGTACCTCATATACCCAAAATTCATTTCATACACTCAGTAACATATTATATATATATTATCCATTAAGTTATCATTAAAATTACCATAATCCAAATTCTGGTCATTTTGGAGGCAATAACATAGAGACATTATTAAAAAGTTATACCAACTATGTCACTTCAGTACTAAGCTTTACAAAAAAAATTACAAAATATGGATCTATTGCACATAATGCTAAATTGAAACCACAACTAGTACATATTCTTCCATTAGACTGTTCAGTATTCTATTAGTGCAAGAGAGAGTGAAAAAAACTCTACCCTGGTTATAACAATAGATGAAGACTAATATATAATTCTGATATATATCTTATTCTAAAATAAAATCAATAATCCATTTCAAGTAAGTACGGGCTATATAGTGTTTGTACGAAAGTAGTTAATTGTTCATCTTATTAGCTTATCATTGTATCCAATTATTTTCAATTAAGTACTTATAATATATATCTTAAATCTGTGAGTTTCTTAGAATCAGGCATTATGGTTTTTCGCTGTAATTATTATTTAATCCTCACTCTTTATCATTGTTAATTTTAATTTCCGAAAAGCATTAATTACTTCTTAATTCATATTAGCACTTATTTATGTCTTCTTAATCAATGAAGAGAATAATTATGTAGATGTAGCATAGATAAACTTTCTGAGAGTCTCGAAATCTTATAATTATTATCATTACTCCTTGGTTCTAATCAATATACTGTATGGTCACTTCATTCCAAAATAGTATACAACAATAGAAATATATTATTCACATTAGGCTGTTTTAATGTGTTATTGGTGTATGATTTGAAAAAATGTCAAATTACATAAGGATAGTAGTTATACCACTGACATTATCTACTAGTTAACCGCTTTAGTAACTTTTTTGCAGTTGTCCATAATGATCAGGTAATTTTTTGTGGATTCATTTACATGGGATTTTCTAAAGGCAAATCAATTACTATTATATTCGGTTTTTAATCTTAAGTTATTATATTGATAATAAAAAATAAATACCATAAAAAAAAAAACTTAGATATGTAAAGGAGTTCATTTCAATTCCATACTTTAGGCAAAACCGTCTTTAAGTGGAGCGAGGTTAAACATTTTTCATAATGACAAGCAGTAGTTCATAATATTATGGACAAGTCAATCATAAATTATATGAGTAACTACAAGCATAGCATACATGCCATTAACATCCTATCAATTTACCATCTATGTAAATACATAAAAAAATACAATGATTAGACATTCAATCGACTAACTAAAAGTGTTTAAATCATATTGGTAGTAATATTTAATATTGAAATAATTCAAAGATAATTTAATATTACATCAACTGATTTGCACGAATATAATAGGTTAAGGTTATCGCTATATAATTAATCTCCCATGGAGTTGATGATTTTATTCATTAGCCTTCCATAACTCTAACGGTACTTTAACTTTTGGGAGATAGGTATATTAGGAGGAGAGAAAGAGAGGAGAGAGAGAGAGAGAGAATTTGAGAGCTTATGAATTGAAGTAGCATGACAGAGGAGAGAGGAGAGAGAGAGAATGAACGAACTGAACGAGAGAGAAGAGTGTTGTGAAAGAAAAGTAAGCAACGAGAAGAAGACAATCTCGAACGGTAAACCGAGCAAGTAGATGGGTAGAAGAAGAGAGAGGATGAACAAGAGAGAATCGAGCACGAGAAGATGGAAGAAACGAGAGAGAGGAGAGTGAGCAGAAGAAGGGAGCGTAGAGGGAGGAGGAGGGAAAGGGGAGAGAGAACCAATAGAGATGAAAAGCTAGAGAGAGAGATGTGAACAAGAGAAGAGTGAGACCAGTAGACGCAGAGAGAGAGAGAGAGAGAGAGAGAGAGAGAGAGAGAAGAGTAGCACGTGAAGAGAAGAGGAGTATGAAGAGAAGAGAGGTGAGAGATCATTGACAAAGTTAGAGAATAGATGAGAGGCAGAGAGACGAGAAGTAAGGGAGAAGAGCATAGTAAAGAGAGAGAGAGAGAGAGAGAGAGAGAGAGAGAGAGAGAGAGAGAGGAGAGAGAGAGAGAGAGAGAGGGAGAGGAGAGAGAGAGAGAGGAAGGAAGAGGTGAAGGTCGAAAAGGGAAAGGGAAGAGGAGGAAGATGAGGAAGAAAGAAGAGGAAAGGAGGAGAAACATTGTGCAAGGGGGGTAACTGGGGTTACACTAGCAATCCTAAATATTTCATGAACTGTATACAATCCTGGGATGAGCAGGGGAAAGAGAGACAGAAAGAGGCATAAGGAAGAGATGAGGATGTCCACGACGGGGAGCAGCTAAGGGCATATACGGTAGAGGTGTGCGACTTGAGGTGAAGCCATGGAACTAACCAATGTTTATAGGTAGGGGGAGCTAAGACGGGTATGACAGAATTGACTGAGTCCATACGCGAGCAGGAGAGGGCACAGAGGCGTAGAGATAGATAGGATAGCGAAGGATAAAAATGAATCAGGTATAAGGGGACTATAACAGATTTCGATAGTCACAGAATTGTGAAGAATTAAGTTATTGCGAAGGGGTAACTTATGATTATAATAAGGAACTTAGATAGATAGATGTGAATAAGAGGGAAGAGGAAGAAAAAAGAGAGGGAATGGTATAGGGTCTTTTACAAGCTGGGTACAAGGAGAAGGAGAAAAGAGGGAGAAGAGAGAGAGAATAAAGGATTTGTTGGTAACGGTGGAGAGAGAAGAGAGAGTTAAATAATATAATAATATTATTAGGATTCTAGTGTAAGATAAATAATAGGAATAGAATAAAAAAATGGCTAATTTTATTTCAATTTATTTAACGAAAGCTGGAACACAGGGGAAAATAGGAGTAATGAAGTTAAATCATTTGTTAGCCCGTTTTACCATATAACATATATACATATATCAGCTATCTTCAATTTTCAAAGGACTGATACCAAGTACAAAGATAAGAATATATGAGGAGAAAAAAGTGAAGTTTTAATATGGTTAAAGAATGGGTATTAGACTATTTTAGGGCTCCTTAGAATGTTTGGGGTTAAGGAAAGGGTATCAGGTAGGGGAGATGTTTAGATGCT